CTGAACGAGGTATTGGGATACCGACGATCGAGTCTCGGGCATGTAACGTACCGATTGACAAAGGGAATTGCATACGGGGTTTGATCGAATCCTCGACATCGTGGTTCATCCGATGACAACATCGAGGAGCATGTGGGAGCCAACATGGGTATCCAGATCCCGCTGTTGGTTATTGACCTGAGGTCGTCTCGGTCATGTCTGCATGTCTCCCGAACCCGTAGGGTCTATACACTTAAGGTTTGGTGACGCTAGGGTTATCAGGAAGACAAGTATGTGATTACCGAATGTTGTTCGGAGTCCCGGATGAGATCCCGGACGTCACGAGGAGTTCCGGAATGGTCCGAAGGTAAAGATTTATATAAGGAAAGTGGTTAAACGGACACCGGAAAGTTTCCGTGGCATACCGGTATTGTACCGGGGCCACCGGAAGGGTTCCGGGGGTCCATCGGGTGGGGCCACCCCTCCGGGGGGGCACATGGGCTATGTGGGAGAGGGAGCCAGCCCCTAGTGGGCTGGGCGCGCCTCCCCACCTAGGCCCATGCGGCTAGGGCAAGGGGAGGGGAAACCCTAAAGGGGGCGCCCCCCTAGCTTGGGGGGCAAGCCACCCCTTTTCCCTCTCCCTTTGGCCGCCGCCCCCCTCTAGGGTTCCCCCTAGAGGGCCGGCCCCCTTGCCCCTCTCCTCCTATATATAGAGGGGTGAGGGGAGGGCTGCTTAACACAAGCCAAGGCGCAACCCCTCCCCTCCCCAACACCTCTCCTCCTCCGTACGTGCTTGGCGAAGCCCTGTCGGAGCACTTCTGCACCAACTACACCACGTCGTCGTGCTGCCGTTGGAGCTGCCTTCCTCAACCTCTCCTTCCTCCTTGCTGGATCAAGACGGAGGAGACGTCGTCCGTCCCGTACGTGTGTTGAACGCGGAGGTGCTGTCCTTTCAGCACTTGGTCGTCGGTGATCCGAATCACGGCGAGTACGACTCCCTCATCACCATCCCCTTGAAAGCTTCCGCACTCGATCTACAAGTGGTATGTAGATGCAAACTCTCTCCCTTGACTCGTTGCTTAGATGAACTCATAGATGGATCTTGGTGAAACCGTAGGAAAATTTTAATTTTCTGCAACGTTCCCCAACAATTTGATCTCAGAATTAGCAGTACCAGGCCCAGATGATGAGGAAGCACATGACTTTCTCTATGCTAAACAACAGATGATTGAGCACTTAAAGGAAAATTTGCAGCAGGCTCAAAATAGGATGAAGAAATATGCTAACCTAAAAAGAAGTGAGAGAGCTTTTGAAGTTGGAGATATGGTGTATCTCAAAATGGCTCCTTATAAGTTAGCAGCCTTTGGATTCAGAGGTGCATTAAAACTGCAAAACAGGTACTATGGTCCATTCATGATCATCCAGAAGATTGAAAATTGGCATACAAGCTGCAGTTCCCTGATCATGTACAAGTTCACCCAGTTTTCCACGCCAGTCAGCTAAAGAAGCACATCGGCAATAAATCCATTCCTAGCCCTAATTTGCCAATGGTGGCAGCCGATGGAACGATCAAAACCGGGCCAGCTCAGGTTCTGCAAGTGAGGCAAGTACCCAGACACAATCTGCCCGTGGTGCAGTGGTACATTCAATGGGAAAATTTGCCTCCGGCCGAAGCAACATGGGAAGACGCGGATTTCATCAAATATGCTTTCCGTGGCTCAAGATTCAGTTATCGCTGTAGCGTTTCTGGCAAATACCGATTCAGTAGATGGACGGCTACGATGGCGACCTCCTATCCCAGTCGATCACCACCGTTGGATGGCCGTGACCGTTACTGTACCTTTCTTACCCTTTCCATTAGTGAGCTGTCCTTGCTCTACCTATAACAGCCGGGTTGTGGCTGGCGAGAGAGCATGATGATTTGCTGAATGCTTTGATCAGGGCTAGAACCGTAACACAATCGCCTTCCTTTTATACACTCAATATACGTCAGATCCGAGACAATTCCGCTAGCTCGTTCCCAAAATTACTAAATCCTACCCTATAATCCACTCGGGCGTGACATTACGGCCTACCTTGCTTGGACCATCCAAGCCTATTGGCTACAACTGCAAGACAGAAGAGTGAAAGTCAAACGGTATTATTAAAAAAGTCAAACCGACGAACTACGTGGCGAGCGCCTAACAAAGTCGGTTTAACGATTTGGATCAACGCATCAACTAAACCGATCGACTCTTAAAAAAGGCAACAAACAAATCGTTGAGTTAACAAACAAACACAAACGACGAAACTATGTCGATTTGTATACAATCCACGCGGCGTCGTGAACCGGGCGCGAAATCACTAATTAAGGAGTACTCGTTGCAAAGAACACTCCACTTTCTCAGGTTGCGACAAGTGGCATACATGCAGCACGCCACTTGTCGCAACCTGAAAGTTTTTCCTTTTTCGTAGACCCATTTATTCAAAACGTTTTATCTTTTAAACCGTGTGTCCAAATCTCGAACCGTTTTCATCATTGGATTCCTCGCGTCGAGATCTTCAAAACTAGATCCCATGTTGATAGGTTTTGTCGAATTTTTTTTCATAAAAAAAACCGAACGAAAAAAACCGGGCGAAAAAACCATATCAGGAGCACAGTTTTTTCCCTTTCCGAAAGAGGCACATCCGTGCCTCTTGCGGAAGCAAAATCGTGACTCTCGTGGAAGGAAAAAAAACAAAAAACACGTTTTTTTTCGTTTCCAAGAGGCACAGCCGTGACTCTCGCGAAAGCACAACTGTGTCTTTCGCGGAAGCAAAACCGTTACTCTTGTGAAAGAAAAAAAAATAGAAAACGCGTATTTTTTTCCCTTTCTGAGAGGCACGGCCGTGACTCTCACGAAAGCATAACCGTGCCTCTCGCGGAAGCAAAACCGTGACTCACGAAAGAAAGAAAAAACAGAAAACGCGTTTCGTTTTTTCCTTTCCGAGAGGCATGGCCATGACTCTCGCGAAAGCACAACCGTGCCTCTCGCGGAAGCAAAATCATGACTCTCCGAAAAAAAAGGAGACGTGTTTTTTTCCGTTTCCGAAAGGCACGGCCGTGACTCTCGCTAAAGCACAATCGTGCCTCTTGTGAAAAAAAACCATGACTTTCACGAAAGGAAAAAAAAGAAAACGTGTTTTTTTTCGTGCAAAAAAAAATTCAAATTCTTTTTATCGAAAAGATAAGGAAGACCAGGAGAAAACCAAAACGTCGAAAAAACTTGAAAAAAACTGTTTAAAAAGCCGAAAACGCGTGCAGAAAAGTACAAAAACAAAATCCGAAGGGAGTATCCAGAACGCGACACATGGCGAATGGCTGAGAGCGAGCCAAGAAGCATTGATCTTTCTAGTGCGTGATTACATGCATTTTTCGATCTTCCATTTTTCTTCTTTCTTTTTCTTTTTTTCTTTCTTCCTGGTTTGATGCAAAATCGATGAACTTTTTCTCAAACTCGATGAACTTTTTTGAAACTCAATGATTTTTTTTCAATCTTGATGAACTTTTTTGAAACTCGATGAACTTTTTTTCAAACTTGATTAACTTTTTTCTCAACTTTGCTGAACTTTTTTTCAAACTCGATGAACTTTTTTGAAGCTCGATTAACTTTTTTTCAAATTGGTGAACTTTTTTATCAAAAGTGATGAGTTTTTTTAATATGTGAACTTTTTTCAAAATCCGGTGAACTTTTTTTCAAATTCATGAACTTTTTGCATCAAATCCGATTAAATTTTTTGAAATCCATGACCTTGTAAAAAATCCGTCAACTTTTTTTATAAAAATCGATGAACTTTTTTAAAATCCGTGAACTTTTTTAAAAAAATTGACGACTTTCTTTATTTTTTATGAACATTTCTTTGGAATCCGTTACCTTTTCTCAAAACTGATGAACTATTTTGAAATTTTTGAAGTTGTTATTCAAATTTGTGTTCCCTTTTACCAAATAATTTGTACTGGGGCTGAACATGGGTCAAATTGAACTGTTTTCGTACATAAAACAAATGTGTTATCCTGGTGTAGTGGTTGACGCGCGAAGTCCGTCAGCAATGGTAAGTCGGTTCCAATCTCGCGTGCGACATATTTCTCTGCCAGTTTGTTTTTTGAGCATCTGGCGCGAGGGATGCTGGGGCGGCCCACTACCGCGCTCCTTTCAGGCGCCAGGTACCTTATGGGGTGCACAGGGCGCCGAAGAGGAGCACTCCGTGTAGCAATCTGTTGATTATTCTACTTGTTACTAGTTTCCTGAATATTGATTATTCTGGTGACGGCCATCACCACGAAATCTGTTGTCCTGTTACATTTTGCCCTGCTGGCCTCTAAAATCGTGTTTTGTTACCAATTTTCCTTGATTCAACCATGAAGGTTCACAGATGTCAGGTTTCTGAAGGTGGGTGCTGATGTAGACCTAGTGCTCTTTACTTGCCTCACTTGAGTCTATCACGTACGCCTCGTTAAACCCGTAAAGAACGAAACCCTTTTCTGTGAGATTGAACCATTTCACGTGAATTTTCTGTGAAGGAGGTTGAACCATTTCACGTGAATTTCCCGTGAAGGTAGGAAACAGCTAGCTAGTTGTCATGGTCGTGTACCGCCATGATGGATGTGGAGTGCCACAACATCTCTAAATGCATCCCCTACTCTGTCCCCAGTTGTCCGGGCAAACAGTACGGACATTGTTTGGATAGAAAAAGGCCATCCAGGGCCTCTCTTAAACGCGGCTCATACGTGTGGCCTTCTCCAAACCCAGCTCATGTGTGAGACAGATTTGAGGTTCTTGAACTATCCTTAAGGTCATTTTAGACATGTGGGTCCCTCCCTAAGGCTACCACTGCCATGGGCCACACTATGGAGGAGGCCTCTGGCGAAAGGCGTCCGTGGTCATAGGTTGCGTGGCTACTCGCGGGTTTCAGTCCAAGTAGTCGCCACCCTGCCGGATGTCTGAGACCTCGCCAAGACGCCATCGGCTCCAGACCATGAAGGAGAGCGACATGCATCGAGCATGTTGAAGAAGGGCATCGTCGCCTCGAAGTGCGTCAGGGAATCGAAAAGTGTGCCGCCAAGGTCGAAGCCCCGTGAGGACGGTCCATCGCAACCTGTTGGACATCGTCGCCAGGACAATGATGGCAGCAGTGGCTGCCCGAGAGTGTTCCAACTTCACCTCAACTTTGGGCATGCGTTCACAAGACGTTATGTTATGTTAAGGTTTAGTATATGTCCATGTTTAATTATGTTTGAACCATCTCCTATGTTTAATTTGAAAAATGTCCAATGTAATTTGAACTATGCGTGGTTTGTGATCATGTAAAACTGGCTCCGAAATGTCTTGAAAAATGGAGGACAAATGGGGGATGCGGCTGAGCACCTTGGTTTTGATGGACAAATGGGTGTTGTCCATGGACATGTTCGAAAATGTGCAAGGATACATGGAGGAGGGTTTTTCATGAACAACTTGGAGGTGCCACGAGTTTTTTGAGGAACTACTGCAGAACATGGCTTGGAGGTGCCATGAGTTGCTTTGGGTATGGGTTAAATGCAAACGAGTTATCAACGTTGAGGCCTCTTTTGGTTCATAGGATAGGATTATCGTAGGAATAGGAAAATTGTAGGAAATGAGATGACATGTAACTCAAATCCTATGAGTAGGAATAGGAAACGAGATGTCATTTGGTTCACACCAAAGGAATTTTTCCATTGAGTCTAGGCTCATTTTTATTTTCCTATGAAATGTGGAGGATAGGAACCAATCCTATGTAGGAATAGGAATCCATTCCTATGAATCAAAGGGCTCTAAAGGAAAAATCCTATAAGAATCATATCCTCTAGAATTTCTATGAAATTCCTCCAAACCAAAGGAGGCCTGAGACATGAGCGGTGACACATCCATGGACCATGGTGTTGCCCCGTTGAAACTTGAAACATAGATCGATGACACGTTGGATGTTGTCGATTGGATTGAGGAAGGAGAACCAGCATAAGGTTGGATGGCTAAGAGGGTGGTTGTACCCTCAACCCACCAAGATAAAGCGTTTTACACATATGTGTCTTGTAAAGCCGCAATATTTTTTCAATGGAAGGCAACTTTTCTGTCGATAGCTAGACATTGTGATGACTTTGTGAATCTTAAGATCTGTCGGATCAGTCTTTCGAAGGTGTTTATAGGGGTAGGGTGTATGCATATATTTATAAAGGTGAGTGTATATAAACGTCTGCATACATATTGTGTTTCTAAAGAAGAAAAATTGCGTCGAGGAGGTCCACCATGTTCACGTTATCAATCGTACAATGGCAGAGCGTCGGCGGGATGAAACCAAGACCGGCCCCCCTTCCTAGAGGTTTTTGCCAAATAAGCTCATCTTTCTGCTAATTGCTGCACTAATCCTTCGACGTTTCTTAATCGCCAAAACCTTTTTTATGTCACGCACGCATTTGCCCTTTCCTCCCAAATTTCGGTTCACTCTCCGCCAGTGCAGCTGGATATGACTCAACCCGGCAATCCGACCCATGGGCGTCCGCGCCCATGGGCACCCGCCCGAATAGGTAGGATATGGGTCATCATCTTCACCCGTGGGTAAGCCCGATGAGTAACCCGATTTGGGTAGGGTATGGGTGTGAGTTCATGCCCGTGGGTTACCCATGGGTTGCCCGATTAATATTAATAAGTGTATATATATGTTTTATTTTACATGACTTGTGAACAATTTTGGTGAGATTTTTTTTGGACAACATGCACCCACGTTGCTTTGTTGTTGCTGTAGATAGACAGAAGCATGAAATAGCAAAAAGTATAGCTCCGCCGGCACCGCCTCCTAGCATACGTTGTCCGCATCCTGGTCATCCCCGTCGTGGTCAAACTCGGTATCGCCATGCCCTACCTAGGCAACAGTGTATGTACAATGTGCTCGCCTTGGTCGAGGTAGTGGGCTTCATGCTCGTCGTGGCCGGCGTCCTCGACCTGAGCTTGCGTGTGGCCGGCGTCCTGGACCCTGGCTTGTGCATGACCGGGGTCCTCCGAGTCTCCGAGCCTGTCCCCGCTTGACGTTGTTTCCTTTGCAGATATGTTAAATACCGAAGCACAGGTACATACTGTTGCCTTGTAAGCCTGGGACGCATATTAATCGGCAACAATCATTTCCTTCAAAGTTGCACAGATCCCTAGAGACTGAAGGGGGCGTACGTGATTTCGGTGGGGCGCGTCGCTAAGTGCTCCTAATCCGCTTCCGTGGAGCACTGCCTATATAAAGGAATAGAAGACACAGTATGCCACTAGAAATCCTTGGTGCGGAAATTCATGGGCCTCGCTAAGCAGGGTGCACAAATTAAATAATAAAAAATGCATTACGCTCGATGGGTAACCGATGGGTTCGGACGTGGGTCTAATTCCAAACCCATGGGTAGGTTCGTTGGTTTAGAAAGAACCCGATTAATAATAGGACATGGGTCTAATAAAGGCCTACCCGACCAACCCGACCCGATTGCCAGGTTGAGATATGACAATGAATTACGTTGGAGATACACACTCGGTCGGATGACATAAGAGTGTGGCTTTCCACGCTTATAACTCAGCGGCCTAACCAAATAGTCGGCTTTTATTTGGCTTATAAACTCAACTGTAACCGTTTTGTACGTGAGAGAAAAAACTCACCTCTAGCCATTGACTGCGTTCTATTGATCCCACGCCCTCCGTACCCCTAGTAATTCACAATATTTATGAGCGAAATACCTTCCAACATATAAGCGAGCCAAACACCCCGTTTTCCTCTACTCCGACTCACTCCCACCCACCGTGCATGAGATGGCATAGCGACGGCGGCGCCAGTTTTACCCGCCAGCCACCATCCTCACCTCATCCGTCGCCGACGACCGAAAACGCCGGCGCCCGCCCGACCAAGAATGATTGTTGTCATTATGACAGCTGGCATTTCTCGTTTCAGGGGATGGAATTTCCTTTTATTTTTTTCCTTTCCGAAGGGATTACGGTAGCCGGGCCGTCCCGAAGTCTAACACGGCAACACCCTGCATGGCCCAGTTACACCTACCTCAGTAGGACCCTTCCAAGTGAATTGGCTACCATAATGAGATAAACCTTAAAGCCTCTTTTTTCCGGTGTAATTTTATTTTTGGGAGTTGTGCTGTTAATTATGAAGCACATAGTCTAGTTTGATTTTCTTTTTCTAGAGGCCCTGATCGCCATGTTTGGTTTGGTCTGTCCCATGACCAAAGACGCATCCTACATCATGTGAAATATGATAAATACAATTGTGTTTTACCCTAAAAAAAGCGAATTGGCTACAACCCCTAAAAAAGCCATTTGGCTACAATCCTTCGGAAAAAAGGGCAATTGGCTACAAACTGGTAGGCAGATTATAAGTAAAAGAAAAGTTAAACGCTAAGAAGGTCAAACCGACGAACTACGTGGGCGCGTGACAATCGGTTTAACAAGTCCGGATCATCACCAGTGCAGAAACAAACAAACAACCCGTCGACTAAACAAACAGAAACGAGCAAACGGGATTCCTCCACAGTCCACGCGGCGTCGTGAACCGGACGAACCGCCCAGCCGACGGACGCGCCGACCTCCTCCGATCCACACGGCACGCCAGCGTGGCCCAGCCCAACAGCCAGTCGGCCCGCAAAATCCGGGTCATACCGGCCCCCATACGTACGTACGTACGCGCGCACGTGTAGCAATACGCAACAACTACGCCACCGAGCCCGTGCCGCTCTCGGCTGGCTCCTCCCGGTGAAGGCCGCTGCCGCGCGCACCGCACAACCACCTCCCCCATATATAGCGCCCGCCCCGATCGTCCTAAGCTTCGCCCGCCTCCCGCCCGCCTTCCGCATGCCCCCGAACCCGACGCCGCAGCGCCGCGCGCAGCAGCAGCAGCACCACCACCGCCCCGTCACCGCCGGCGGCGGCAGGAGCCAGGACGCGGCCATGTCGGCTTCGGCGTGCGACGAGGAGGCGTTCCAGGAGGTGGACCCGACGGGGCGGTTCGGGCGGTACGCGGCCGTGCTGGGGCTGGGCTCCGTGAAGAAGGTGTACCGCGGGTTCGACCAGGAGGAGGGCATCGAGGTGGCGTGGAACCGGGTGCGCCTGCGCGCGCTGGCGGAGCGTGACCCCTCCATGGTCGACCGCCTCCACGCCGAGGTGCGCCTCCTCCGCTCCCTCCACCACGACCACATCATCGGCTTCCACAAGGTCTGGCTCGACCGCGACGCCGGCGTGCTCAACTTCATCACCGAGGTCTGCAACTCGGGCAGCCTCCGCGAGTACCGCGACCGCCACAAGCACGTCTCCCTCAAGGCGCTCAAGAAGTGGGCGCGCCAGATCCTTGAGGGCCTCGACCACCTCCACACCCACGACCCCTGCATCATCCACCGCGACCTTAACTGCAGCAACGTCTTCATCAACGGCAACACCGGCCAGGTAACTGCGCCCATCAATCAATCAATCTCGATCGGTCGCCTGGCTGCTAATTGCTGCCTCTCCCCGCACAGTTCTTCAATTGTTGAACGATTAAATATCTGCAATCTCCCAAATTTTATATTTAGAACTGCGTTATGCTAGACTCTCTCGCCTTCTCGCGCACGACGCCGTTTCGCATAATTTAATTTAGTTTAATCGTTTCTAAAAAGAATTTAATTTAATCTTGTTTTAATTAGATTGGAATACTCCTAAATACTGCATGTATTCGGTTTTAATTAGATTCTGTATTGGGGATAAACATAATGTTTACTTACTACTTTCTCAATACTATCGTAGTTTTGTACCTAAACAGGCAATTTGGTGTAGGAAAGTAGCACACGATGTAGTTTTGTGCTAAACATAATTTTTACTTTTTTTGCATGGAAACATAATTTTTACTTGCTACTAATACCTCAATACTATCTTAGTTTTTTTTTCTGCCTAAATAGGCAATTTGGGGTAGAACAGCAGCACAAAGATGTAGTTTAATGCCTGCTGATCTGAACACCGACCCGTGCATTAGGCCGGCGATTAATCCGCGGACGGGCGCTTTTCCCACCTTTTGCGCTTCTTTTCTGTGACGACCTAGCTGTAGTGTAGACCTCTGTAGCTCTCCGTGTCTCTGAAAGCATCGCGAGAGCTGGACCTACTAGGAGGATATATGCCTGCGTGAGCTGCACCTAGCTTTCGAGTAAAAGAGAAACACAACTGATGCACGCTGAGACGCACTTTGTTTTTGCTTTCAAACATACATAGCTGAGTCGCACTCCAATCTCTTACGCTAACTTGTTCAGTTGCTTGCTGCACCTGCATGCATCTACGATTCTGCCCCGATCGAGCACTGGCTGTTAGCCGTTGCTTTCATGAATCACGAGCCTGTTGGACTGACGGCTCCGGGGATTGGTGGTGCAGGTGAAGATCGGCGACCTCGGGCTGGCGGCGATCGTGGACAAGGACCACACGGCGCACACGATCCTGGGCACGCCCGAGTTCATGGCGCCGGAGCTCTACTCGGAGACGTACACGGAGTCGGTGGACATCTACTCGTACGGGATGTGCGTGCTGGAGATGGTGACGCGGGAGATGCCCTACGGCGAGTGCGAGAGCGTGGTGCAGATCTACCACAGCGTCACCAACGGCGTGCCCCCCGCCGCGCTCCGCCGCCTCAGGGACCCGGAGATGCGGGCCTTCATCCAGCGCTGCATCGGCAAGCCACGCAACCGCCCCTCCGCCGCCGACCTCCTGCGGGACCCTTTCTTCCACGGCATCGACGACGACACCACCGGCACGCTCAGCTAGCAGCTAGCCCCCGGTCGCGAGGGTGGATCGGATAATGTAGCAGTGTTAACTTGTCCACCTTGTTGTTAGTGGTTAGCTAGTAGTAGAAGCACGACGCTGAGTCCAAATGCTTGTTTGATTTGTGCTCCAGCAAGCAAGCGAGCGAGCAAAATGTGTAAAGATTATGATGGTCTCGACGGAATTCGCCTGGGCCAGTCTGTATTCTTATTGTTGCATTCCAGTAGTATTACATTGATAAGGCATCATGGGCTCGTGCCAATTAATAACTGTTCACCTGAATACAAATCAGGACTGAGCCAGCGTGTTCTCTGCAGAACCTTGACGCATTTTGTTTCTATTTTTACCGAGACGGAAGATGCCGACACTAAATGCTACTCCCTCCGTTCGGAAATACTTGTCATCAAAATGGATGAAAGGGGATGCATCTAGACATATTTTAGTTCTAGATACACCTTTTTCTATCCATTTTGATGACAAGTATTTTCGGACGGAGGGAGTACCTATTTGCTATGAGGATCTCAAGTTCTCAACGAAGCAACCGGCTAGCCCCTGAGCCAAGGAGTACATGTTTCTGAAATAAGCAATCAAATGCTTGCACCCAACTTGTTCATATTTCTCGTTTAAAAAGAAAAAACTTGTTCAGATTGCATCTATCCACTCCACCGTCCAACTTTTGCACTGGGACTTCACGCAAGATGAGACGCTGTGCATGGCTACAAGTGGAGTACAGTTATCGTGTAGACTCGTTGAAGAACCGGCTTCTGGGGAAAACACACACCTGGATGATTACCGAAATCAGCTGGAGACGTCTGGAAAGAAAATAAGCTGGACGTAGACGGGAGACCCAACTGATACACTGGATATGGGCATTTTTTGGGTTCCTTAGCGTGGGGAGCATGACGAATCGATGGACAACTCACACCCTGCATTGCGCACAGGCTGTCCGGCGACCTCAAGCGTCCAAGGCCACAGAAATAAATATGGGTGGTGGATGATGGGGCATCGGCGTCGTAACAGCTGGGCATTTAGCCAAGCGCAACCTTGCTGTTCGAACCACGTCTCCCACATACTCCCCCCGTCACAAAATTCGTACATCAGAGGGAGTATGTCTTGGGGGTGAACCTCAGTTCGTTTCTGCATCATAGCTTTGATGTGACCAATTTCCCGTTGTCTTTTTTGAAACGCTGACAATCTGTTAGAGCATCTACAGCAGGATATGTTAAATATGACCCCTCAAACATATGCAGACGTATGCTCGGACGCGTTCGCCGGCAGTGATCGAGCATGCCTCAAATTTCACTAGTTGCATTACTAAATTCTTAAATTCATACAGAGACATGCAAATGAAATAAACCTACATACTATATCGATCACCTAGCTACTCATCGTCGCAGATGTCGACGGTCTCCGTGCCCGGCTCCGGCAGCATGGACGACAGCTACAGCTCCGGCGCCTCCGGCTGCTCCGCTCCGGTCTCCTTCTCCTCTATCTTCGCATCGAGTTTGGCGAAGAGCGTGTCGGACGCCGCCTGCTCTTGCCGGAGGAACGCCGGTTGGCCTCCACGTAGGCCTCATCCTGGATGGACTCCAGGACGGCCTGCTACTCCGCCATCTCCTCTGATTGGGCGACGGCGAACTCCGTCTTCGCCTTCTCCATGTTGAAGCCCGACAGCTCCGGCTCCGACTGCTCTGCCTCCCGCACCTCCATCGAAGCCAGCTCCTCTTCCCCCGCTCTTTCTCCTCCTCCGGCTCCGGCGAGTCCAGAGGCAGCCGGCAGCAATGCGGGCAACGCGCGCGACATGTCTCGCCCGGATCTCCTGCTGGATCTCTTAGCGGCGCTCCGGCGTGAGCATTGCGTAGTAGGTGATCTTCCTTCAGACCATGACGGTCCGCCGGAGCGTGGGCGGAACGTCGGAGCGGGAGAGGGAGGAGGTGGATGCGCTCGGACTAGTGGTGCGGAGAGGGGGAAGGTGAATGGGCTAGGGTTGCGGGACGCCGACCGGGTTAAATAGGCAAATTTTGTTTCGGGCGGTGAGCCGGAGAGGCACCACGTGGTATTCACACCGCGGCGACGGAGGAGGAATCCGTCGGACCGTCGGGTTTCCGGGCGAGTCTGCGTGGGAACCCTTCGTTAGCCCTACGTGACGGACGTGCCCGGGAGCCCCTATATCCACCCCAGGTTTGGGCTGGATATGAGGGGTGCCAGTCAGCCCGGATGTTTGAGGCTTGTTTAAGGATCCTGTCCGAGTCAAAAAATCATGATCGGTCAGTAACCGGGCGGCCCATCCGGAAACCCGGCGGTCCGGGAGCCCCCATATCCGCCTCAGATTTGGGCTGACACTAGTAGAAAACAGGGCTTTGGTCCAGGCCGGGTCAGGCCATTAGTCCCGGTTCAATCCAGAACCGGGACCAATGCCCCCATTGGTCCCGGTTCGTGAGCCCAGGGGGCCGGCCGGGCCACGTGGGCCATTGGTCCCGGTTCATCTGGACCTTTTGGTCCCGGTTGGTGGGATGAACCGGGACCAATGGGCCTCGCTCCTGGCCCACAACCATTGGTCCCGGTTCGTGCCTCAAACCGGGACTAAAGATTAGACCTTTAGTCCCGGTTTGAGGCACGAACCGGGA